GGGGGGGGGGGGGGGGGGGGGGGGGGGGGGGGTTCAGGGGGTGCCGGCTGACGTGCTGCTCTACGCAGGATGGCCCAGAAGTACTATGAGTACGTTAACTACAAGGAGGAGCAGGAGAAGGAGAAGAAGCGGGCGCCGCGAGATGCCTGCAATGCCTACATTATTGTCTTCCAGACTGTTTTCTACTCCTGCTTCCACGTGAGCCCCGGTGGGTTGGCTGGGATGGGTGGGGGGGCCACCCCAGCAGCACTGACCATGCACCCCTCTACATCCTGTAGTTGAGCTTCGTCTGCGCTCAGATGCCCATGGTCTTCTTCCTCAACAACTACCTCTACCAACTGAACCACACGCTCTTCGCAGTGAAGCACTGTGGTGAGGCTGCGGGTGGAGCACGGGGTGGCACCGGGAGCCCCCCAGTTGGGATTAACCACGGCCCGTGCCCCACTGGCAGGGACCCTGAGCCATGGCACGCTGCCCGGCTTCAACAAGACGGTGCTGCAGAGCCTTCCCCGCAGCGTCAACCTCATCATCGTGGAGAGTGTGTTGATGGCCGCCGCCTTCCTCGCCATGCTGGTGGTGAGCACCGGGGCGGGAGGGGACAGGGATGGGCTGGATGATGGCAGTACCTCACCCGCAGGCACTCCGCAGGTGCTGGTGCTGTGTGGCGCAGCGTACCGGCCCATGGAGGAGATTGACATGCGCAGCATCGGCTGGGGCAACATTTTCCAGCTGCCCTTCAAGCATGTGCGGGACTATCGCCTGCGGCACCTCTTCCCATTGTTCATCTACAGCGGCTTCGAAGTGCTTTTTGTCTGCACTGGATTTTCCCTGGTAGGATACGTGATGGGGTGGGAGGTGATGGAGCAGGGACAGGCGATGCTGAGCCTGTGCTTGCTGCAGAACTATGGCGTGTGTGCCCTGGGGCTGGAGAGGTTGGCGTATCTCCTCATGGCCTACGGCTTCTCTGCCTCGGCGTGCTCCAGCCTGGCCCTGTGCATGCTGCGCCTGCGCCGGCACATCCCGCTCCTGGCTGGAGCTTTCATCCACGCTGTACTCCTGGTGACGCTCTTCTGCTGGGCGCCGGAGCCCCGGTACCTGGCACAGGCGCCGCTGCTCTACACCATTGCTGCACTCTGGGGCATGGGCAGTGCCCTCAACAAGACCGGAATCAGCAGTAAGTAGTGGGAAGGTCCTGAAACAGCCTTAAGTGTCCCCAAAACACCTTGGTAGTCCCCAAAATAGCCTAGGTTGTCCCAGATTTTTCCACACATCCTCTCCTCGTGTCCCCCGGCACCGCGAATTTGTGGTCTCACTCCTCGGTTCCATGGGACAAACCCACTGTGATTGTCCCCCCCATGCCAAGGGGACACGGCCACAGGAAGGGGACACTGATTCCAGTCTCTGTCACAGTCCTCCTGGGAATGTTGTACAAGAAAAAGGAGCGCCAAGACTTCATCTTCACCATCTACCACTGGTGGCAGGCCCTGGCCATCTTCACCGTCTACCTGTGGTCAGGGCTGCCCATGAAGGTAAATCCCAGATATGCCCCAGCCCACTCTGAGACATTCCAGGCTTTTTGGGGACACACCCCCACACCAATCCCAAAATTCCCTGTGCCGCAGGCCAAGCTGTCCATCATGCTGCTGACGCTGGTGGTGGCAGTGGGGACATACCTGTGGATGGAGCGGAAGGTGGCGCAGAACATGGAAGTCCGGCTGCCCCGCATCCCACGCCCACGCCATAAAACACGTGGATACCGCTACCTGGAGGACAACTCGGATGAGACTGGCTCCGATGGTGACGGGGACAAGGAGGATGATGACAGGCACCCAACTGAGGCCACCAGTGAAAACGAGCTGCCGAAAGAGGACGGCGAACAGCTGGGATAAGGACAGCCTGGCCTGGGCCCCATCCTGCTCTTGGCACCTGAGGGGGTTCCACAGCTCTCCCCGGGTGGGCCCAAAATTCTTCAAATCCACTCAGGTCAGGCTTGCAGCCCCCCAAGCTAAGCCTAAAGCCCCCAGGTAGCCCAGAGCCCCCCACTTTGGCTGGCATCAATGCTGACACACATGACTGACAGACCCCCATACTGGCCCATGGACCCCCCAGGTCAGGTTTGCAGCCTTCAGATTGACCTACATCCCCAAACTGTGGTACAGAGACCCCCCCCAAATTGTGGTTCAGCCCTCAGGCAGGCCCAGTAGCCCCCAAAATTATGATGCAGTTGCTCAGATGAAACCTGCAGATTCACAGGCCAACCCCTGAGCCCCCCGCCACGCAAATCCACAGCCCCTCAGAAAAGGCTCACGCCCCTGAGGCAGATCCGCAGCCCCCCCCCCCAATTTGGCCAAAGCCCCCCAAGGTGAGGCCCACAGACCCCTGAGCAGATGCACAGACCCTCTAGCAAGGCTTGCAGCCCCCCACAATGTCCTGCAGATCCCAGGCAGACCCCCAGCCCTCCCATA